TCCTCCTCCGGAGTTGGGAAGGGAGGAGGGGGCGAGCTGGCGGGGCTGCGTGGACCTCCTTGGCCTTCAGTTTGCCTGTCCCTCTGGCCGGTGGTGTGCCTTCCCTCGGTCTGATCTTGCGCTCTTGGCCTTTGCGGTGTAGGCGAAACGGCCGATTCCCCGAGGAGTGACCAGTTGTATCCTATGTACGTGGTGGTACCCTCTCTCTTCCTCCTCCTCTGCATCGGCGTCGGCGTCTTGGCAACTCGCAGGCGGCGGAGGGAACATGGGCAGCTCTGGTTCCCCGAAGGATTCAAAGTGACCGAGTCCAGTAAGAAGAAACGCCGGGAGCCGCTGGGGGAGGATTCCATGGGGCTGAAGTGAGTAACCCCCCCTTCCCCTCGCAGAGGTCTGGGTGCTGACTGGCATCTGGACCGGTTCCTTTTCTCCTTCGGGTTAACGTAGAGCGTCGCTCGCTCTCTTGACCCGGAAAGGCTGGTTCACGCAACTTGCTAAAATAGCGTTGTGGGAATCTAACGCTTGTCTGGGTTAACTCTTGTCTGGAATCTTAACCCTTGTCTGGGTTGAGCCAAAATGGGCTTTACGTGTTTGGGAAAAGCATGTGAAGTGAGCACAGCAAGGGTGGCTTATTAACTAAGATTGTAGGAACCCAACTTTGTGGGCACTTTTAATGTTTATGGCATGCCAGCTCTGGCTTCCATTTTGCAAAAGAGAACGCTGTTGGACCGGTGTTTACATTGTTTTACCACCGTAGGTCTAATGAACCGTTTTGAATTTCTGCTTCCTTTTTCAGTCTAGGGAAAATAGAGGTGAAGTGATATTCCGGTGATTGTGGAAAGAGCTGGTTTTCTGCCCCACTTAGGACAAACTGTAGGGCATAGCACCAAGTCTGTGTTGTTGGCTCTGCTTCTACCCCACTGGGCAGAGGGCGCCAGTGTTGGAAACAGCGGGGACATTTAACAGCTGCCCTTTGAATTCATGCTCTCTCAGTGGGCATCGTGGATAAATTTCAGGGGATCTGTGAACTTGGATGGACACAGAAATTTCAGCTTTATTTTCATTAACCTCCAAGTGGAATTTAGCTTTTTGTTCAAGAATGGTTGTAGGTGACGAAGTAATTGGCTATATTTCATGGCCTCTAGACTCCAAAAGTGTTTCATTTTAGCTTATGTCTCTTTTAAATGTATTTATTGTCTTGTTATGGATTTAATGGATTCATAAAGAAGCCCAGATATTACTATAATTTGTTATTTTAATAGCGTGAGCATCAGTGACATCCTTGTGTAAGACAATCTATATCTATGTATTTTATGTTACACATTTAAATAGGTTTTCCTGAAAAAGGGTCCAGTGGTAACACATTTTTAAAACGGGGGGGGGGGGGTTAAAAGAGAGAGAGAAGGTCCAAAAAGGTCCCACAAGATTCTCAAAGGGGTCAGTAGCGCAAACAGTTGAAGAGCCCCTGGGCTAGACCATCCAGTCTTGGACCTCTTCTGTGTCCAGTTCATAACTCTGGAGGGAGCATTCCGTGTTTACACAAATAGCGTAATTTTTTATAGCACAAATCAAGAGCACACAAGCACATCACCCGAACCAGTCTGTTTCAAGAAGGCCTAGTTGTCTGGGTCTTAATTTCAGTCCCTTGCTGTTTAGCTTTGCTTCGGTAGAAAGTTTCCAAAATTACTGAATTTGGGGAAGCTTTGAGGGGGGCACCCTTGGCATGGATAAGAGTGTGAAGTGTGAGAATAATGGGAAGATTATTTGGTTTGCCTAATCTTTAATTACTCCACTTCATTTGGGTGATGGCGATCAGAGTGTGTTGCTTGACTGTTTCCACGTGGACCTAATTTCTGTGCCTCTTTCTTCTCCCTTTCCCCCCAACCGTCCCTCATCCAGACCCTTGAAAAATGCTTCGAACGGTACTCTGATGGATGACAATCAGAACGAGTGGGGAGATGAAGAGATGCTCGACACCAAGAAATTTCGAGTAAGCTTGCGAGGGATCCTTTGCTTCTGGCCCGAAGGTTGTGCAGAGATTAAATGGGAAGATGATACTCTCACCCTAGCAAGTGCCAGAAAATCCTCCTGACTTTTCTTTTCAGTCGCTTCTCATTCAGTTTGAATTTGCATTTGGGATTTCTCTCGAAGAAGAAGAGAATTTGGGGGACATTTTCATGGAAGGAGCGTAATCTTGCAATTCTTCAGTGACGCCTGAAATTGTGTGTCCTCCCTTCCGTGGTACAGTCCTCTCCCTGGTTGTCTCTGGCCTGGGGTCCCATTTCAGAAGCAGTTAGAACCAAGTTCTCCTTGGGGGGCTTTCTCAGTTCAGAAAGGGGAGGTGGGGGAATTTTGGGATGGAAAGATGCAGCCAGAAATACGTCTGCAACAATAGAGGGAGCAAGAAAACTCAAAAAAGAGTTTTGAGTTTCCCACCAAGAGAAATTCAAACTAAACTAAATTCCCAAGCTCCCAAGGAATAAAGTAGGACCACAAACTTGGTTTTTTTGCTTTTTTGTTTTGCCTGAGAAGAAAAGGCTGAGAAAGAGGGCAGATTTTAGTACAGGGTTACCTTGATGTATCCTTCACTTGGATTAGTGGAAACATCAGTGCTTCCAGGTGGAGAGCTGCGCAGTCAGAATACACTGTCTGTTCCATCTTCCTTCCTTCATGATTTTCCATCGAAAGAACGAAGAGATGGAAAGAGGCAAGAGACGTGCCAGCTGCCCCCAGAGCATTCTGAGAATGTGGGCATGAAAAGAGCACCAGTCCTGGTCTTGGAGAGAGAAGCGTGTTCAATATTTGGAAAGCGCTTGTCTAACAGTGAAGTGTTTAGTTGCCCAGTTAAACATTTTTGCTCACGGGAACAAAAAAACGATGCTTCAACCGGCTTGCAGAAGCTTCAAGAAGCTCCCTGAACATCTGCAGATCCCACAGCCTGACGTGTGAATTTCTGACCTCCAAAAACCACCTCTTTGATCCTGTGGTTATACTTCCTTTATCTATTCCCTTCCTTGTCCATTTTTCCCTAGACATCAGGAAACGTGACTATGCAAAACCAACTCCTAAGTAACACATTTGAATTTCCGATCTCAAGACGCATAGATCCATCTTGGCCTTTCTCTATAACAAGCATTTTGCTGGAAGTGTGACTATGGGTGGCTCTGGCAAGCAGATCGTCACGCAGCTTCTCCTTCGCTCTCTTCCCAGGTAGAGGAGCAGGTCATGCTGCCCGATGAGCTATCTGACCACAGGCAGTGGACGCAACAGCACCTGGATGCGGCCGACCTGCGCATTTCCTCCATGGCCCCCACACCACCGCAGGGGGAGATCGATGCAGATTGCATGGACGTCAACGTACGAGGGCCGGGTAAGGAGTAAATCTGAACGGGAGAGCTAGTTTGCTAGCCTGGATTCTGGAAAAGACCATTCCCCCAACCTCCCCCTCCCCCCAAGATCCAGACGGCCTTGACCCTGCCTGTCTTTTAAGAGGCCTCAGAGACCTGGGTCGGGAGCCCATTTTAATGATGTAGTATGTTTTAATTGTTTGTTATTTGCTGTTTTTCGTTGGCCACCCTGGGCTGCGTGGTGAGTGGGTAACCATCTCAACCACAATAACAGATAAAGAGTGGAGCTGTCCAGTGCAAGACCAAGGTGTGATTTGTGTTTTCCTATAAGGGTGCTGGATGCCATGCTTGGGGGTTCTTTCTGTTGTCCCCGTTGCAAGAATGTATAAGGCTGGCCAGTATTATTAGGTCTAAACTGCAGACTTGGGCAGATAGAAAGGAATAGGGGTCTGCGGTGCAGAGATGAAAGGGAGAAGGCTAATCGGGGTCTCCAAGAAGCAGCCTTGGTCACGTGAAGGACAGTGACCAAATCCTTCCTCTCAGGGTTGTACAGCAGGGCACAGAGGCCCATTTAGCTCTGGTCCTTGAATTCCCCTGGTCAGTGTTCCTCAGTTCTCCTGGTATTATGCTGGACGCTGGTGGTGGACAAAACCAAAAGAGATCTTGAAGCTCGAAACCTTCTTGCCCTTGTCTTCGCTTGTGGCTGCGCTCACAGGGGCCGGTGACTAGGCCAGGCTAAGCTTGGATTGTTATGGATCAGCCCTTGTTTTAGTGTAGACGTTGCACCTGTCCCTAAAGTGGAGGATTTGCGTGGCCGTAGTGCCTTAGATGAAGGTGGCCGTGGTGTTGGTGAATCTGGGTTGAGTGTTCCTTCCACCCAGCTCCGGAGCTTCCTTTGAGACCAGCTGCAGCTGCTCGATGCCTCCCAGGCTGCGGAGAGCAACAGACCCCGAGCGGATGGCTGTTGCTTGCCGGTTTCAGCCTCTGCCTTCCAGGCCCATCGCAGCGGCTGACGGGTCCCCTTCCTTTGCCTTTGCAGATGGATTCACGCCCCTGATGATTGCCTCCTGCAGCGGAGGAGGGCTGGAGACTGGCAACAGTGAGGAGGAGGAAGACACCCCCGCTGTCATTTCGGATTTCATCTATCAAGGGGCCAACCTGCACAGTCAAACGGATCGCACGGGAGAGACGGCTCTTCACCTGGCTGCACGTTACGCCCGCTCGGATGCGGCCAAGCGGCTGCTGGAGGCCAGTGCCGATGCCAACATCCAGGACCACATGGGCAAGACGCCACTCCACGCAGCCGTGTCAGCAGATGCCCAGGGCGTCTTTCAGGTCAGGGCGGCCCTTGCTCTCATCCTGGGGAGGCGTTTCTACCTTCCCTCCCACAAAAGCTGGGGTGGTTTACCAATTGTGCACATAAGCCAATTTCGAGCATCCACTAACCAGGGTGTTTCTCTCCCTGGGACAGATTCTGATCCGGAACAGGGCCACCGACCTGGATGCCCGCATGCATGACGGGACCACGCCCCTGATTTTGGCTGCCCGCTTGGCGGTTGAAGGCATGCTGGAAGATCTCATCAGCTGCCACGCTGACGTCAATGCCGTTGATGATCTAGGTACCAGCATCCCCAAGTCTTCCATGAAAGGTCTGCAGAAGGAGGCCACGGAATGGCCTGCTGATGGTCTCACCCTCTTCTCTCCCTCCAGGGAAGTCCGCCCTGCACTGGGCTGCCGCTGTGAACAACGTCGATGCCGCCCTGGTGCTGCTGAAGAACGGGGCTAACAAGGACATGCAGAATAACAAGGTCAGTGGGGCATCGTGGTTCAAGGCTGGTCTGCGAGAGACCCAGTTTGACGGAGCTCCCTTGGTGCCTTTGGCCCGGTCCCCCTCTCTTCCTACAACATACCCCACAAAGATTTTGTTGGGAGCTTGAAAATGGGAGACGGCCTCGTGGACTGTAGAAAGTAAGGAAGACGACCTGGGCAGGGATGGGCCGAGGTGACAAGGGGAAAAACTTGGCGACTCAGGCAGACACCTCCTTAATTCACATGAGTATTTTTTGCCTTCCTGTGGAGTTGATTCCCTGGCTTGGTCTACCTGGGGGAGCTGACATAGACGCAGGTTTAAATTCATCAGAGAAAAAGCAGGGTGTAAGTGCAAGCCCTCCCTCAGCCAGGGGAGCTCAGCCAGGAGCCCTGAACCCCCTGGGGGCCCACCAGGAACAAGGAGGGGCTTGCCTCCTTGTTGAGCAAGCGTTGGCAACTGCTACAGTCTTGCAGCCCGAAGTGGCCCTGGAGTCATGGATCCCGGTGTGCAAACCAGGCAGCCCACAATTAAACTTCAGATCCCCATGCACGCAGACACCCCCCCCCCCATTTCCTATCTAGGCAGTTGCTGCTTCCCACAAACATCCAGGCATTTTCCAAAGGTGGCTTCAAACACTTTCTGCTTCACTGTGCAGGAACCTTAGTAGGAATGGATGGGTTGATGGTCTTGTTGAGAGTTAAGCCAGCAGCAATTCTCGCTTGGGAAGCCAGCCAAGGCATTATCTGTGTGTAAAGAAACGATTCCGTTCCATTATCTCTCTGCAAAGAAACAATAGAGCCAGTTTGGCGTGGTGGTGAAGGCTCCAGGCTAGAAACCGGCAGGCCGTGAGTTCTACTCCTGCCTTAGCCACAAAGCCAGTGGGCGACCTTGGGCCAGTCACTCTCTCAGAGCCCTGGGAAGGAGGCAATGGCAAACCACTTCTGAAAAACCTTGCCAAAAAGACTGCAGGCATGGTCCAGGCAGCCCCCAGGAGTCAAAAACTAACTCGAAGGCACACACACACACACACACACACAAGAAACAATGATGGCCATGAAAACGACGATGACACAGATGGTTATTTAAGACGTTGATTAGGACCATCCACCAAAGTGGCATTTAGAAAGGGTTGGTGCTTTCAAGTTTTCTCTTCAGTGGGCATGGTTTTCAAGAAGCAGGGGAGTGGAACGAAGGAAGGAAATTCCAAAATCAGAGTAGATGTTATTGAGCAACAGATTTATCCCCCTTTAAC